CACGGGCAGTAACTTGCATGACAGTGGCGGACTAGTTGGGCTATATCGCAGTTACGTTTCAATCCGTGATGGTCGGCTACAGTCCCCTAGGACTCAGCATAAGCTGATGACAAGTGATGTAAGCCACTAGCAGTCATAAGTTCGATCCCCAGCAGGGAACCGAAGAAATGCGCACCACTGACGAGCCCCGAAAAGAGTGAAACGCGCGTATGGCGCTTTTACGGATTGATAGCTTACCAATGGGGATTGTAATCTAGTTGCGATGACCCAAATAAAATCACAATGTGAAGTACAAACCATCCGCCTAATCTCAAGTGATATTAATCGGTTTCTATCACGCTGTGACTCGGTGACACAGCATGACGCCCTCCGTCGCAATGGCTGAACGCCCACGGATGTACCCTGACTTGCAGGTTCACTTTGTTTGCCTGGCGCCAATAAACGGATGGCCTATCAGTTCAGTTGATCAAATATGATCAGAGCACCGAATAGCGGTGGATCCAGTTGCCATGGCTCACATCGCAAGAATAACAATAAACAACAACGGTGAGATAGTGGGACTAAAGGCAAATAGAATGTAAAGAAAATGGAAGCAAGAAGGAAGTGTTGAGTGTCATTTTGAAGTACGCGTTGCGTGGATGGATTGCGGCCCATCTGACCTCAACGTAAAGGACCGAGACAAACACTTCACCCGCAACTGCCTCATCCTTTATGTCTCCCTCCGCCGCCATCCCCGTGTACAATCGCAGTCGAACCTCCTCCGTTTCATCGGCGGGAGCTCTTTTGTATGACACAGAGACAAATGCCCAGGAAGCTGCGGCTAAAAATGTGACCGAGAGGAAAACCTACGCGGCGGCGGCGCGCACTGGATCTGAAAATGCAGCTAGCGAGAACTATGCTCCGAACCGAAAAACCAGGAAGGCAGCCATCGGGACCAAAAGAAAATCCAATTCAAAGTCAACGCAACCGTAGCATGTTTTACCTAAAGTCACACAACTCGACAAATTGATAACCGAAAAACCGGTTGCATCAAAACCAGAGGAACCGAGAGAAAACAGACCTCCCAGAGAACGATGTTTGATTATTATGAATGTTCCGGAATCTGACAAAGTGACTACAGCCGAAAGGATCCTTGACGATCAGACATTCCTCAAACGAATGGTATCCATTCTATTCGACGAAGGGGAGCAGGGCATCAACATTGTCTCAGCCTTCCGCCTGGGTAGAAAGCAGGAACATCCTACGAAGTTCCGCCCCCTTAAAGTCGTCTGTCAAGACGAAGAAGAATGCCGCCGCATCCTCAGGCGCACTTCGCGCCTTAAGGGCGAAACATTCTTCGTCCTGAGAGACCTCTGTCCGGAAGATCGAGTTAAAATGAAACAAGCTGTCAATGAACTACGCACGCGTAGAGCCAGTGGTGAAACAGATCTCCATATTGTGGATTTTCGCGTAGTGAAGAGAATACCGAGAGCGCGCTGGCGGCCAATCTTTCTGCTACCCAGCCGGCTGGCGCAAACAGAAGTCTGCGAGTAATACTTGCCAATGTGCGAAGCCTCAGGAACAAACTTGACGAAATTCCACTTCTCATCTCTGAACACCATCCAGATCTATTGGCGTTTACAGAGACTTGGTTGTTCTCTGAGGTCTTGGACACAGAAATTAGCATACCGGGATAACAACTCTCACGAGCTGATCGTACTGATGGGGGGACCGGAGGAGGTGATTCTCTACTCGAAAGACTGCCTCAAAGTTCACATCCTTGAAGCGTTCTCCGACAATAACGCTGCCTCGGAAATGCTTTGGTGCCGGATCCACGATGGACACGAAACACTTACGACTGGAGTTGCCTACAGAGCTCCCTAGGGCTCAAGCTCTCGTCTCCTGGAGGTCGCAACGAGACTAGACCTTAAGCTGGTGCGACGGTTTGTGTACTTCCTTGAACCATTGAGCTATACTGGGTCGTGCCTCCGGGCACATTGAGAGCTACTCCTACCAGGTTGGTCAATGGTCAGAGGTCAGACAAACTCAGCCTTCTGATCCTCCAGGCTGGGGGTTTGAAATCGGGTGGCGTCCATTTCTGTAAAACTAAATCATTGCCACCTCCCCGCTGCCCATGCGGACAGGCTATTGAGCCAAAGGCTTTGGATGAGGACCTTAAACGTCCTCCTTTCAAGGTCTGGGAGACCCTGGCAGTATCTCAGCCCACACACAACGATGACATTTTCTGCAAACATAAATTTCATCCTGCATCAGTCCTCGCGCAGATTGTCAAGGGTTGCCTTATCTGCTGCATACAGCAGGGCGGATAAGCAGAAACATGCTACTGCTGGCGCCTCCCTTCTTTCTTTTACTCACATCCCGACCCCATTACTAACCTTTGTCTATAATTCCAAGCTTAATTGACAGCAACCGAAGTGCCACTGTAGTAGAACCATCTGCAGCCACCATCCCACGGCACCTATCGGACGCCTGTCGGCCAAAGTCCCTTATAAAACCACGCTATCCCGTTTCCATGGCGACATTGAACGTTCGCACCCTAAGACAAACAGGTCAACAGGCTGCACTTGCACGCACCTTGGACACACTGTGTACTGATGTGTGTTGTGCGTCCGAAACTAAGATCAATAACCCTAACGGGGTTGTTGAATTAACTGCACCCGGCTTATCCTCTCGTTATTGGTTGCACGCATCCGGAGACGCCGAC